TTTGGTTGTGCTGAGCGAACTGGGGGTGTGCGTGGTCTGAGTGAGTAGTGGGGTCGTGTGCCTGGAAGTGGAGGGGGAGGAAGAGGTCTCCGGGTGTGTTGGGGTGATGATGCTGTGGGTAGTGGGAGTCACGGAGGACGTGGTAGAGGGGGCAACGTGCGTGGAGAGGGTGGTGTCGGGGCGCGATGGGGTGGGCAAGGCGGTGGTAGTCCGGAAGGAAGTCCCCGTGGGGGGAACTGTCTTATGGGCCGTCGTGGAGACAGCTGGTGTGGCCGCGGTGGGAGAGGGCAGTTGCCCGTGGGAGTTGCTTGACGTCGGTGTTTCTTGTGTGGTCCTCGTTTCCTCTGTAGTGTAGCCGATGTTGCCCTCAGGGGATGTCGGTTTCTCTGTGTGATGTGTCTCTCTGGTCACATGGGTGTTGGGGGTCCTTTGATGAGTGGCGGGCCCTGTGGAAACAGTGTGTGCCAATCATTTTTGCTTCTGAGTAACACCTCACTGGATCACCCATCTCGTCAGCTTTGTCTGTGATATATCCTCCCCATCTATGGCTTTTTAGGATCCCTGGTGGGGACTTCCCAGTGTTTTTGATTGTCCTGTTTCTGCAGTCTTTTTTGCCCCCCGCTGTCTTTTCCTGTGTTTGTTACCCCTTTGTATCTTAGCCCCGTGAAGTGATTCCTGGGGAATTTCCTGTGACTGTTTGTGGCTCCTTTCCCCTCCCCAGTGTCAGGTGTTTGCTCTGCGTTTGGGTGGGCATTTCCCTGTCACATCCTGCTTTTGACCTCCTGATGTGTTTCTTCTGATTGCTCTGGGAAGAATGGGGACACGTTGCCTGCTCCGAGGGTGTGGGGACTGTACTGTAGGTGTATTTGTGAGTGTTGCCCTGTCCTTGGGTCTGTGGTCACTTGGGGCAGGGGTGGTTGTGATGGGTGGGTGTTCTGCTAATGCCGTGGAGAAGTTGAGCGGAGTATAGTTAGTGCGGTGTGCTTGGGGTTGGGTTTTGGGGGTGTCCCCCCGCCTTTTGGACCAACTTGGCCCGTGGAGCCCCACACGGACTTGTACAGCTTTGGTCGGGTTCCAGGCATATGTGCTTCTGCCCCTTTTTGGGGACAGTCACATGTGGTGTGCTTACTTGGTGGGGTTCCTGTGTACATTTCTGAAGTTTCTGGGGTCCGTGGTAATGCTGTGGTGTGCTCTGTGGACTGAGCCGTGGATTGTGCTGCTGAGCTGAGTGTGGATGCTGTGGACTTCGTTGTCGTCCGCATCACTGTGGGTCCTGTGGCCGTGGACTTGAGAGTGGCCGTTGGGGCTGGTGCCGAAGTGGCCCGTGTGGTGATGGCAGAGATGGTTCGAGGTGACTCTGCAGGGAGCAGTGCTCAGAACATTCCTCCAGAGCCCTCTGCACTTTCCCGCTGAATCTGAGCTCCCTGCCCCCACTGTACCCCGTGGGAGGGGTATGCCTTCCCCCAGCTGACCCCCTGGCCTCCCTGGCTTGCCCTGGCTTGAGTGGCCACAGTGATGTTTTCAGGGACCCCATGCTTACTGGGCCACTGCCTCTCCGTCCACCCACCCTTGCTAACAGGGTGGATGTCTTGTTCCCCCATGGTTTCTGGGAAGCTGGAAGGGGTTCTGCTGTGTGGGGCAGGGTGGGCTCCCAGGGATCCTTGAGGTGGCCCGTCCTACGTGTTTTCTATCACGAGTGTCAGGCAGCAAAGAATGGTCACATTCTGTGACAGGTTATCCTCAGAAAAAGCCTTTCATGGAAACTGAGCTCCAGTCCCTCCTCTGCCTGCAAAGGAGGTCAGCAGAACATTCTCTCGGGGGCCCTCACCCTGAGCTCCCTGTCAGCCCCGCTGTTGTTCATGGCTGCCCGGGACGGGGGCTGTGGTGGGCCTGCTGGGGCAGGGTCTCTGTGCCCCCTCCCCTCTGACTGCCGAGCGGCCCCAGGGGCAGCCCAGGTTCAGTCCCCGCCCCAGCCCACACCCGCTTCTGGGGACGCAGGGACAGCAGTGTCGGTGGCCAGGGCCCTGGGCGCCCAGGCGCCCGACAGACACAGCCGGGACTGGCCAGGGGCTGTCCTGCCAAGCCGGGCTAGAGCTGGCGGTGGGCCTGCTTCACCTTGGCACCTAGTGTGTGTAGTCACCTGTGGTGGGCCTCGGCGTGGTGGGCGGTGATACTGCAAGAAGAAGGACAGTCAGGAGCGCCTCCCCCACCCAGCTGAGGATCCAGGGGGACGGAGCCGCCACGGAGGGGCCTGAGCCCCTGCTCCTGGTCCTCGTCCCCATCTCTTCCCCTGTCCGTGCCACCATAGGCAGCGATCCAGGCGAGCTGGTGCTGAATCCCCAGTGGCTTGCTGCTCTGTACCCACACACCCCAGCAGGATGGCAGGGTCAGGTCTGCCCTGGGGCTGCTGATGATTGGGAAGGGCAAGAGAGGAGAGGCTGGTGCTTTTCCTGTTTCTGCTGCCCTGGCCCCGGTTGCCTGGGTCCCTGGGAGTCTCTGCACCCGAGGGCACGCCCTGCGGGGGGTCTGCCAGGAGGCTGGCCACAGGTCTGTGTGGGGGCTGGCCACTCCAGCCAGAGGCTGGTGGGTGTGGGGTGTAGGGCCTGGGCGGCATGTGGAGCTTACCGCAAGGAACGCAGGTCCCCGTGCTGGGGTCGAAATACTCGTGCTGGGAGCAGTTGTAGCAGCCTGGAGAGGGGGTGGCACAGAGGGTGATGAGGAGGGCCCTCTCCCCTGTCTGTCCACGCCCAGTCCCCTGCCTCTGCTGGAAGCCTGGATGCAGGGCCCCCCTCCCTCACACCCCCAGACTCTGACCCTGCCCTCCGTCGCCCGTCTGCCGTCTGCGGGCCTCGCTCAGGCCGCACTCTCTCCGCTGTACCTTCGGTGTTGGTGTCTGGGAAGCTCTGCGGGTGCTCGGGGCAGAGGCACGGCTGGTAGTGCCACGTGCAGTTGGCCTCCTGGCCATACTGGTATGCGCCGTCCCCTTGAGCGTGGGTGTTGTAGAAGTCACAGTAGACGGCTGGGAGAAGGGGCATCTGTCAGGCTCTCGGCGTGCAGGTCAGGGGCCCGAGCCTGCACCCGTGCCCGCCCCAGAGAGTGGGCCCGGGCGGGGCACTCACGGCAGAAGTCCGGGGTCCTCCAGTCCACGCACACGCCCTTGTCCAGGCAGGCCTTGGCGTAGGCGGCCACCGCATCACACAGGCACTCACAGTCCCCGCCAGTGTCACAGCCACACGTGTCTTGCACACAGGCCTCGTAGTAGGGCAGGCGGTACACCTGTGGGAACGGGCCATCAGTGCCTGCCCCGCGGCCCAGGCTGCGCTAGGAGCCGGGTTGCGGGCCCTGAGGGCGGGCCCACCTGGCTGTGGCAGGCGGTGAAGGTGGGGCTGTTGATGATGCTGCACTTGCGCTCTGCCCAGCTGCGGCGGAACGTGTTGAGGCTGCAGGGGTCCAGCGCGAGGCTGGTGTCCCCGCACAGCGGGCTGTCCTTCCACGAGTTCACAAATTCCAGCTCACTGGATGCCACGTAGTTGCTGCGTGTCTCAAAGTCGTCCTTCATGTTCCCATTGTAGTTGCCACACAAGCCACACAGCGCATCCTGCAGGGGGGCTGGCGTCAGGCCGGGCGCTGCCCCTGCCCTGCGGACGGCCCTGGGCCTTGGGGCAGCGCCGGTACCTGGCTGGTACGCGTAATCCTGATGAAGACAGTCATGTGCTTGTTCCAGACGAGGGTCATGTTGTACTTGTTGCCGATGGCGATGTCCAGCACCAGGTTCAGGGACCCGGTGTTGACCCGCAGGCGCACGTGGGGGTCCTCCCCGCGGACCGTGTAGTTCCTGTCCGCCAGCACGATGGACAGGCCCTGTGGGGCGGGGCTGTCACGCGGCTGCCTGTCCCCCGTCCTGGCAGCCGCTGAACGTCTGCGGGCTCTGCGTCCCCTGCCCAAGCTGTCTGGGGCAGGGAGGACCCCATCTGTTGAGGGAGCGTGTGGGCCTGTGCCTGCCCAGGGCTGGTTCTCTGCTGGGGGCCTGCCCTCTAGAAACTGCTGTTGGCAAAATGTTCCAGAACATGGTGGAAACTGCACCGAGGGCTGAGGGTCAGGCTTCTGGGAGAAGCCCTTCCCTTCGCATAGCTGTCCAGCCCCAGGAGACACTGCTGCCCGCCATGCAGTTGGGGGGCCCGGGGGCACCAAGAGGCCAGGACGTGGGGGTCTGGGGGCTGAGGTGTGGAGAGGCCCCACCCAGCCCACTCACCCCCAGGAAGATCTTGATGGCCCGGGAGCAGGTGACGCCTGACTTCCCACACACAACGTTCTCCGTCAGGACCTTGAAGGTGGGCTGCGAGTTGTTGGCTCCGCAGCTGTCCTGTGGGGATGCGGGCGCTGAGGAGGAGCCCACCTGCTGGCCCCTGGGGTCCCCACCCCCCATGGCCCAGAGCGGGGCCTTACCGTGGTCAGGATGTACCCACAGCTGCCATCGAACATGAAGCGCTGACCGTCGAAGGTGACCACGTGGCCCTCCCCGTAGAGGGTGCAGGTGGATGAGCAGCGGGCGCTCTGCCAGCACGCCCATTTCCCCCTGGAGCAGGTGCTGGGGAGGGAGGTGGGCCATTGTGGGGCTTCAGGGGGACCTGTGCCACGCGTGTATTCCCACTGGACCCTGACCTTGGTGGAGTTGCTGGGGCACCCCAGGGACAGCCGCGGGCCACCGGGGGCTCTGGGCTCAGGCGGTGACTCACCATGTCTTACAGTCGGTGTGGAGCTCGGCGCCCCGGGGGTAGGAGACCCCCGCAAACTCGCATGGACATTCCTCGGGGGGTACGCACTGCCCGGCAGCGTTCTCGTAGAGCCCCTTGGCGCAGACACAGCCAGGCTCGCACTTGGTGGGTACCTGCAGGGAGAGGGTCAGTGGCCCCTGGGAGGGTGGCTTTGCCTACCGCTGCCGTCGCCCCGGGCCCTTCTGAGACCCCCGATATTCCTCCCCGTCCATTCCCCGTGTCCACCCCTGTTCCAGGCCTCTCAGCGAAGCCACCAGGCAGGTTCTGGTGCTTCTGTGTCCCTCCTGAGCTTGTGCCCCCTCCCCAGGCAGTGGGGGACCAGGCCCACAGTCCTCGGGGAGCCCGCCACACAGGCACCCCCACCTTCCAGCTGCCTGGCCGCCAGAGCCACTGCTGAGCCTCTCAGCCCCCTTGGGGCACCAGCCACCCTCATCACGGGGTGACAGGGACAGACGGACTGCGTGGCCCTGCCCTCCCTGGGGATTTTGTGAAAACCCTCTCATGGTCCAGGGAGAGGCCCTGGGCGTGGCTCTCTGGTGGGGACTGCCCTCTGCGGAGTGCCCTTGCCCCTCGCTTGGCCCAAGCCTTACGCAGGGGGTGCCGGTGGCCAGCATCTGACATGTAGGGGCACAGGCTGCCCCAAATGTGTTCTCCGAAGACTCGCCACAGGCCTGGAAGGTCTTGGGGGCTGAGCAGATTGCTGCAGGGAAGGGGGCAGAGCTGGGGTGAGGCGGGCTCGGAGGGACCACCACACCTGGCAGCCCAGGCCTGCCGGCCTCAGCGCAGCTACGTACCCAGGAGCATCTGTGGGCGCCCCGGGCAGCTCAGCCTGCCGTTGATGCAGTAGCTGCAAGAGGTAGGCTGTGTGAGTGCACTGGTTCCGGGCTGCGGGCTGCAGGCTAGGGTGGGCCGGCCCCCCCGGGGAGCCCCGCGCTTACCAGATGACGCCGTTGACCATGGCGGACTGGTCAGCCAGGATGTACTTGTTGCTGTCCAGGAGGCAGGGGCACTGGGCCTTGCGCACGCACTGGGCCTTGTGGTTGAGGTAGGTGCCCTCGGGGCAGTTGCAGCCGTCCACGGGCACGGCACTCGGGTGGCACTCGGCGGCGCGGTCAGACAATGATAGGCACGTGCGGCCGCAGGCCCGGATGTCATAGCCGAATGTCTGGTTGCCCGTGCAGGGGGTGGCTGTGGGGGGACTGGGGTCAGGCCCTCAGGGGATGCTGGGTGCCCCTGCACCCCTCCCACCCCTGCCTGCGCCCGCCGGCACGCACTGCAGTTGTCCACACTGCTCCTCCAGTCCCTCAGCAGGATGCCGTGTGTGGCACACATGCGGGCATAGTCACTCAGGGCGGCGCACACGTGTGGGAGGGTCTCCTCATAGTTGCAGGCCTGGTACACGCACCTCTGCGTGTGGACACGGCTTGTTAGCTGGGCGTCCAGCCCCCCCTAACCCCCAGGGCCCGCCCCCTGGGGTTCCTGCTGGCCCTGCCCACCTTGTAGAAGGGCCTGGGGTTCACCGTGGCATGGCACCTCTGGAACACTGTGCCGTCCCTCACCAGCACTGAGCAGTGGGTCTCTGCACACACCTCTGGGGGGACAGGGGAGGCATGGGTCTCTCGCTCACCCGGCCTGGGCCTTGTGCCCACCCACAGACCCCCCCAGGGCCCGGCACTCACTGTTGAGCTGGCTCATGGAGCAGGGGTCTGTCTCGCGCTCCAACGAGGCCGGGCAGTTCCCCGTCCGCCAGGAGTCCACGAAGAGTGAGGCGGTGCCCTCCACGATGCCCGTGCTAGCCATGAAGTCATCCGTCGTGTCCCCATTGAAGGTGCCACAGAGACCTGCACCAGCCGGGCCGTGAGGGGGCAAGCCTGTGCTTCCACCCTGCCCTGTGCTCTGAAGCCCCTCTCCTCCCGTCACCATGCCTGGGGCACTAGGCTGTCACCGGCCCCAGGAGGGCCAGGCTGGGGTCGTGAGTGCTGGATATGCAGGGCTCTGTTGGGCCCTTCCTCTGCTGTGGCCACACTGGGCAGGGATGGGGCCATCAGGCCGGCTCTGGGCAGGGACAGGGAGGGGCTCACCTCTGGTCTGGCCTCTGAACTGGGGCCCGACGGTGACATACACCTGGAACACAGGCTCTAGCTGGATCACAAGCTCCAGGCCAAAGGTGGTGGTCATCTGGAGGTGGGTGGACGTCTGCCTGAAGACTGTGATGTTGCCTGGGGGGAGAGGGGGCTCAGGAGGCAGCCTGCTTGGGGAGTCTGGCCCAGTGAGGACCTAGGTGCTGGGCAGGGGCTGAGGACGTACGAGTCTTGTACGGTAGCCACTTGGTGTTCCTGTTGTTGGTGAGGACCTCGTCCCGAGAAATCACGATTTTGTCCTAGAGGGAGGGTGGCCTGAGTCACAGGGGTGCCAGGAACAGGGGGAGGCCTCCCCTCCTGCAGGCCTGGCGGGACATAGCAGGGTGGGTGCAGCGTCTGTGTGGCGGGGTGGCCTTACCTCTCTGGACATGTAGATGACAGCAGCTAGGGCCGTCTCCGAGTGAGAGTACCCAGACTTGTCGTACGAGGCCACGAGGGAGCCCCCATCCGGGAGCTGCGGGCTCTGGGAGGGGGGTGAGGCTTAGCCCAGGTGGCCACGGGTGGTCCTCGTGAGCCCCCCCCGTGGTGACCCCTTGGGGCGGGCCCCCTGGTAGTGGCGTGTCCTACCTGGAGGAGGATGTAGGTGCAGGTGCCGTGGAAGCGGTAGGGCCGGGCGTCGAACGTGGTCACAAAGGAGCTGCCTTCTAGGGAGCAGCGCCGGGGGCAGGGCTGCTCTGTGCACGTCCAGTGGCCCATGGTGCAGTGGCTGCAGGTGGGAGGGCTTACCCAGGCGGCACCCCCAGACGCTCTGGGCTAGCGGCGCCGGCTGCTCCAGGCTGAGGCTGCCCCAGGACCCCTGTGTCCCCCCTCATCCCCATCCCCTTGCAAGCTGCCCTGCACTTACCAGGTCTGGCAGGCGGCTGTCACGACCTCCCCAGGGGCGTAGACCACCCCGTTGAGCATACAGGGGCACTGGGTGACGGGTATGCAGGTGTGGTTTTTGGAGATGTCATCAAGAACCATCCCTGCGGGAGACAGGTTTCCTGGGCCCGTGGCTAGATGCCCCCCCCGCCCCGCACTGGCAGCCCCCTGCGCCCACGTGCCCAGACCCACGTGCTGCTCCTGGTTGGATCAAAAACAACATCTTCCTAGCAATCTCTTGGACCCCAGCCACGCCATCCCACTGCCCCACCCACAGGGTCTGTGGGGTGGGGGCAAGTGCTACCCTTACCTGGGGCAAGACAGGTCTGGCTCTATTGTGTGGGAGTCAGGTAGGGGCCTACCCTCTGTCTCCGGGTGAGTTTCGAGGGGCCCCAGGGGAGCGGTTGCCCTCACCTTCGGGACAGAAGCAGCCGAAGGTGCAGAAGCTGGAACAGGTGTGCTGTGGGTTGGAGCAGGTCTTGATGCAGGCCTCGCCGCATTCCTGGTACACCTGGTTGGCCGGGCATGGGCCCACAGCTGCAGGCACATGCAGCCTCTGTGACAGGGGTCAGGGTGCTCCAGCGCCCCCGCCACCTGCCCTGCCCCGGCCAAGGACTCAGCCCCACCCTCCTTCCCCCAGTCTCCTTCCAGCTCACAGACAAGGCGGGGTCGGTGCCTGAGACATCGGTGCCTGGGGCCCTGGCCCTCCCTGCCGCTCTTCCCAGCACTCACAGCAGAGGCCAGGGCCCCGCCAGCTTCTGACAGCCTGGCCCGCCATGCGGCACTGGCGCGAGTACTCGGACAGCGTGGCGCAGCTGCAGTTCTGCTGGCCTGGCAGGATGCACTCGGCAATGTCCGCCTGGCAGCTCAGCACGAATGGCTCTCTGGGCACGTTGCACTCGGGGGCCACCTGGGTCAGCAGCTCAGTGCAAGTCTGGGCCTGGGCAGAACACCATGCAGGGTCATGGGGGTCAGGGCCACCTCCCACACCGGTCTCAGAAGCCTGGGGGCGTTGTTGGCCTAGGAGACCCTGTCAGACCTTGGTGGCCAGCCCCCGCCGTGGCTGAAGGGCTCCCAAGGCCCCTGGGGTCCCCACCACCTCACGTACGTGCTCTGCCTGCGGGACCTGGGGGCTGGTGACGGGCATGTAGGTGCAGATCTCGCTGGGGTCATCCAGTGTCTGGAGGGCAGCGTACGTGTGTGGTTCCAGCAGTTTGCCTGGGGGTGTGGGGTGGGGTGGGGTGGGGTCAGCACCATGGGGGCCGGGCTGCAGGGGCTCTGGGCCCCAGCCCCCTCCTACCTTCCTCGCTCAGGAACTCGTCGGTCTGCTTGCCATTGAAGTCCCCACAGAGACCACACAGCTTGCCCATGTGCCGTTTCTCCACCAGCACCTGTGGGTGGGCAGGTGGGCACTGCCGTCAGGGTGCCCCAGGACCCTCGCCCACCAACAAAGCCCAGGCAAACTGTTGGATTCGGACCACCCAGCCCGCCACCGCTGCCAGCATCCTCACCAGGAGGTGACTGCCCGGGCCCCACATGACCACCAGCTCCAGCTCTAGCTGCTTGGCCACCAGCTGCACGCTCTGGCCGAAGGGTGTGATCTGGAGCCCGTTGCTGGTGTAGGGCAGGCTGACGACCCTGCGGGAGCAGAGTGATCAGGGGCCGCCCCCTTGGCTCCCCAGCCTCCCACCCCAGCCACGTGGCCTACCCCACATCCTTCACGGAGATGACTGCCTTCTGCACGGTGACCACCGAGGCCCCCAGCTCCACAATGACCCGGGAGATGTTCCCGCTGGGCCCACGCCGTAGCTGGACACTGAAGGTGGACGGTGCGTCCTTGCAGATGGCTGCAAAGACGTAGTTGCAGGTTCCCGGGAAGTCATACATATGGCCGTCGAAAGTGGAGAAGTGGCCGGCCCCCCATGTGGAGCACTGACCCTTGTCTGGAGCTGTGGAGATAGCGGGCAGAGTCTTGGAGCCCTGTGCCCGCCCTGGTTGGTGGGGCAGGCATGGGGGGTCCTGACCCCATGAGCTGGGCCCCTGGGGAGCCCATGCTGGCCTCCCAAGTTCCAGGTGCTTTGGGGTTGGGCAGGAAAGAGCCCCTGCTCTTTCCGACGACAGTGCCAGCCCCGATGAGGGCTGGGTCTGCCTCCCACCCTAGCCCCTGTCTTGGCTGGGGTCTGTAGGACTTGCATGGGGCCCCCCGCCCTCCTGGCAGCCCGGGCTTGTTTCCCTTCCGGGCGAGGGGCTGGCTAAGTCTTTCCGTAGCTGGATCCCCCTCATGGAAACCCCAGGCCACGGCCACTCTGTGGTAGGGCCGTGGCGCAGGGGCTCTGGGTGACTCTGGAGGACGGGAGGCTGCCTGTGGCCCTCACCTGCGGGTGGGGAGTCCTGCAGCCTCCGGAGGCCTGGGTGCACAGAGGAGGTTTCATTTAGACCTGTGTGGATGGAGACGGCGGTCAGTGATGGCACCGTCCGCCTTCCCCTGCGGTGGGCAGCATGTCAGCCCGGAGTAAGGTGCCGGCTGTCAGGCCTGGGCCTGGCTCTTCGCGCCCCTCTGACTAGCCCGGTTCAGCTGCTCATTCGGGCACTAGCCGGGCACGTCTGCACGGGATCCCTGCGCATGTGGAATGGCAGGGCGCAGGGCCTGAGGGTGAGGGGATGCCAGTCACCGATGCTGGACGGAGGGAGCGGCCCCTGGGGCGGGGCGAGAGGTGTGCGGCTGTCTGCCGGTCCGCTGGGCGGAGTGGGGGCAGGGGTCCCCGGGCCTGCAGCACCCGCTGGTCTGCCTGCCTGGCTCCTGTCACTCGGTACCTGCTCATCCCCCACATGCTCCAGGCCCCTCTGGGGTTTGAAAAGGAGATTCCCCCCACCCCCGCGGGACAAACAGGCAGCCTTGACAGGCCGGGCTCCAGGCAGTGCTGGCTCCTGGGGGGCTCCTGTGGGTCTGTGGTTCATGTGGGCTGCAAGGGTGCTTGTTGTAGGTGGGGGGCCCTGCGCTGGGAGGGGCCTGGTGGGCTTTGAGCAGGAGGCGGTGGGAGACCTGGGGAAGGGTGTGCGGCCCACCTGACAGCGCAGGGCTGGGGTTGGCCTGCAGCTGTTCTGGTGGCACCCTATACCCCGTGCTCCCCAGGGGTGAGGTCTGAGGCTCCCTAGCGGGCTTCTCCCTCTACCAGGCTCTGAAAGTGGTTGCTTTCCTGCTTCCTTCTTCCCAGACAGTCCTCCTGGCCCCGGCCGTGGTCGGCGCTCCCACCCTCCAGACCCTGTGGGGCCCTCAATTGTGCCATGGCTCCCGCCTGGTTCAGCAGCCCATGTGGCTCTTGGGGTCCTGACCCTGCCCACTCCCCCACTCTGCTTGGCAGTGTTCATGGGTCTCGGGGTGATGCCAGGGAACAGGGACAGCAGTCCGGCAGCCCAGGGTCCCCAGATGGCTGTGTTGCTCCTGTTCCAGTGGGCCAGTGACACTTGGTTCTGGGCCTCCTGCCTCCGCAGTGTCTACCACATGGGTCCCTGTCTCTGCCCCTCCTCAGCTCACCACCCGCCCCCAGGACACTTCCAGTTGCCTCCAATGCCCACCCCCCTCCCCCCTGCCCCCAGTGGGTCACTCCCCGTAGGTCACTTCCTGGTCCCCACTTGCTGGGACTACTCCACCACTCTTGTCACCCAGCCTCACGGAGCCCTGGTGTGTGGGCCGTCCTCTGCTGTCTGAACAGAGCCGGCGCTCAGGGGCCAGCCAAGGGACGGTGTGTACTTCCCACTGGGAATCTCCGAACAAGCACTGATGCCTTGGTTCCCCCCGGGCCTGCAGGGCAGGCTGGTCCGCCACCTCCAGCCTTTCTCAGCCCCTGGACCGGATGTAGAGCCTCCGGAGCACACGCTGTTCCTTCTGCACACTTGGCCACCCTGCCTGCCCCTTCCTGTCTGGCTCCACCCCAGCCTGGCTCAGGGGCCTCTGCCCCTCACCTGCCTCAAGTTCCAGGCACCCCAAGGCTCCTGCGTCTGACCTGGTGCTTTTTGAGCCTCTGGTTCAAGAGGCCAGAGTCTACCTCTTTCTCCTACACCATTACCAAATCGGTGCCCTGAGGGCGCTGGCAGAAATGTGGCCAGACCCTGTCCCTCCCCCTCTGCAGCACTCCCACGGCTCAGCAAAGCTGCAGCCTCTCACCACCCCTGTATCCCACCTCGGCTGGCTTCCAGGTGCCTCCCTTCTTGCCCTGGTTCTGGGTCCAGGTCTCAGAGGGGACGGGCCCAGGCGGGGCAGAAGTCCTGAGCGCTCAGAGCCACAGGCTTCATGGGAGGGAAGGGATGGGGAGGGCCCAGGGGAGACCTGCTAGGCTCAGGAGTTAATAGCCCACCCCCAGTGCTTGGGTCCAGGCTGTGGAGCCGGCTTGGGAGTCAAGGCTGGGAGGACTCGGGCCACCAAGGAGGGGGCAGTGGGCCAAGCATCACGGGGAGAGAAGAGACACGTCCTGCTGGGCTCTCGGGCAGTTAGAGAAGATGCAGAGGGCTTGGTGCCTGCCGTCAGCGAGAAGGGGCTTCTCTCTGGGCTACCGTGGGACCCCTTGGGGCTGGCCCCTTCCCAGGCTTGGGGGCAGGGGCTGCCCTCAGCCTGCGGCATCATGGTGCCTGGGGTGGTTAGCAGAAGGGACCAGGGGGTTGGGGGTAAGGGGAGGACAGAGCGGGCCTCTGCTCCTTGGGCTTGGTGGGCAAGACCGGGTGGGCTCTGGGGTGGGGTGGTCCCTTCCGAGCCTCTGCAAAATGGTGGTGGTCCTGGGCCCTAACATGTGTTCCCTTCGGCCCCCTTTGTTTAATCCGTATGGTAGCCACATGAGTGGGAGATGTTTCCTCCACTGTCACAGATGGGGAAATTGAGACCCAGAGCCCACAAGGCCCCTGCCCTGCTCCCTACACCCTACAGCCCTCCTAGGACCCAGGGCCCAGTGGTGAGAGCCCCTAGCACTGTCCTGCCCAGAGTGCCCGTGTCCCACTGCACCCACTATCGTTAAGGAGACCGTATGTCCCTGAGGAACCCCTGCCCCACGCAGCCCAGCATCCTTCTTCCCTGGCCACTGTGCCCAGGGCAGGGGTGAGTGGCGGCCTGTGCACGGGCTGAGCTGGGCTCTGAGCCGGCTCCCTGACGGGGACCCTGGCCTTGGCCAGTGTGGGACGGCTACCAGGTGGGGAGGGGCCTCTCATCCATCAGTGTCCTCGTGGCCAGTTGATGAGGCGAGAAGGGACCCTCGGAGGGCTTTTGTCCGCCCCTATGGTGTGGCCAGTGGGCCCCCACTCACCAGTGCCGAGCAGGACCCCCCCACAGGATAGAAGCAGCAGCAGCTGAGGCCCGAGCATGACAGTGGAGAAGAGAGGTCGCTGCTGGACCCGGCCCCTTCCGCCTCGGGACCTGTGTCAGCTCTGCCAGCCAGAGTGGCCAGCCCTGGACGCCTTATGTAGGGGCTGCAGGCCCTGCCCTGGCCGCACCCACTGGGCACAGCGGTGGCCAAACAGGATCTTGGGCGCTGTTTTATCAGGACTTGGCCTTTGGAAAGCTCCTTGGTGGACAGTAGCCGCATTATCACTGGCCTCCGGGCAGGGACCGGCACAGGCCCTCCAGAGCCCTGCAGACATGACCTGTGTGTGCTCTGGGCTGAGATGGCTGGGGCCATCCTGGGGGCGGTTCTGGAGGATCTGCATGGGCACCATCAGCCACAGCTTGGGGCCGAGAGGCATTTGTCCTGGGCATGTGGGGGAGACCCCGGTCACCCCCTCTGCCCCTGTGGGGGGAGCCCAAAGTGCTAGGGGGGAAGGGGCAGCCCAAAGTGGTCATGCTGTACCCAGAAGGGCCCCCAGGACTGTTTTCTGACCCCCAGGGCTCCGAGCTGCTTGTAGGCACAGGAGCGGGGGTGGAGTGGCCACGGGGGTCCTGTCTGGGAGGGCATCTTTGTGGAGGCTGTGTGCCAGCCTCAGGGTGCCGACCTCCCAGGTGGAGGAGCAGGGCCATGCCCACCAGCCCCGGGAGAAGGATATGGCTCCTGGGGGGCAGCATCTCAGGAAGCAGGGAGTGGGGCGGGACACATGCCCGTGTCATGGGGGGTCAGGGTGAGGCCCAGGATCAGGGCAAAGGTCGAGGTCACGGTCAAGGTGAGGTCAGGATGAGGGTCACGATCGGGGAGGGTCAGGGTCAGTGAGGTGTGAGTGTTTCGGATCCTGTAGGATCCTCTAGCATTTGGGGAGCAGGTGTGGGTCTGGTGACTCTCTAGGGCAGGCTGGTCCTAAGTGGGAGCCTGTGTGGGAGCCTGGGGCCCTGGTCCGGGGGCTCCCCTTTCCTGAGGTTCTGGCTCCACAGAGACTTGGGATGCAGGAACCCCATCTGCCCCTGAGGACCCCCCCCCGGGGCTGGGGGGGCTGCACCCTGCCTCATAGACCCCCTCCCACCCGAGAGCCCCAGCTATAGAAGGTAGTAGATGCCCCGTGTTTACCTTGAATAAACTTCCATTGTTTTAACGGAGAACCGCACGCAGTGGGCAGCCAGCCTCGCCATGTAGACGGCAGGTCCCCGGGCGTGCTAGGCACTCCTGTTCCCTCCTTCACTCAGAAGCAGAGGTGGATGGGGAGGGGGTGTTTCCCAGACGCTCTCCTGGGTGCTCTGCGCTGGAACCTCCCCAGCTGGGGTCACTGCAGCGAGGATCCTGCGCACCCAGGTTGGGGTTTCGGTCCAGGCTCCGCCATGGGGCCGCTGCAGGGTTCTCCCTGACCTCGGAGAGCTCATGCTCTCACTGGGGGCTTGTGAAGCTCTGAATAATGGGTGGGGGCCAGGGTCCCACAGGGGCCAGAGGTGGGTCCTCCTTGAACCTCAGTCCTGGCCAGGGTGCTGGGTGGGTGAGGGCGCCCAGGCAGGGGGCAGCGGGGAGGTGATGTGTCAGGCCTCGGAACAAGCAGGGTGAGGAGAGAGGCCCAGGACCCTGCTGGAAAAATGTCCTTGGGCTGCCTGGGGTCCTCTCCCACAGACTAAAGCCACCTCCTGAGGTGGGTGGGTGAAGCTGTGGCCCTGGTGTCCCTGCGGCCAGGGCTGGGGGAGCCCCAGGCCTTGTTCTCCGCCCATACCCTTGCCGGGCCCCCAACTGCTTTGCTGGCCAGTGGTGTCCCACCCAGCCACAAGGCTGCCTGCTGCCCTCCCAGCAGACACCTGACCACAGGGCCTTGGCACGGGCTCCTCCTTGCCTCCCTGCAGACTGCCCCTCTTTCCACCTCCCCACTCAGCACCCTGCACATCGGGTGCTGTCCTGTCTCCCAACAGTGCCTCGACCCCTCCTGTCCTCCATGAGTCCATGTGTCCCGGGGCCTGGAGGGCACCAGGGCCTCAGGACAGGCCAGGGGACAGGGACGGATGGAGCCAAACTGTGGTCGTGTGCGCACTCCTGGGGAAGAGGCCAGGGCTTGTGGCAGACAAGGGGTCCCCATGTTGGGGTCCCCAGTGTCACCCCAGCAGCTCGAGGGACTCCAGCATGGCCCCAGCAGGGGTTGGGTCACGGGGACAGCGACAGGGCTGCCTGCGCGGCCTGGAGTAGAGAAACCTGAGCGCATGTGTACGTGTGCGACTCTGAGTTTCCTGGAAAATGTTGCTGAGCATTCCAGCACCTGTCACCTCTGGGCTGTTCACGCCGCGTGTGCAGTTAGCCGACGGCCCTCGGCCTTGCAGCCTTGCCCGCGCCCGGGCCCGGCTCCTTCCTGGTGAGGAGGGGGCTCCTGGGCGGTGGGCCCCGTGTCCCTTTCTATACGCAGGTTTGGCGGCAAACCAGGGAGAATGCGTTTCTCTTCGCTGACCTGGGAGACTTGCGTGCGCTGAGCAAACAGCAGGAGATAAGACTGTGTGTGTCGCCATTGTTCCCGGCCGTGTGGGCCACAAAGGCCCCTTCCGCTGGCTAGCCCTGGGAGAGGGAACCCGCGTTCCGGACAAATGGGTGATTGTCCGGCCTCAAGCCTGGCTCAGACCCCCTGCCCTCGCCCTCTGTCTGCATGGCCGGGCCGGACTGGCCATGATGCAGGGAGCTCGGGCGGGCCCCGCCCCTGTCCCTGCCCCCGCCCCCAGCCCCAGTGTGTAGGCAACGGGGCCCAGCCCACCACTCCAGCTTCAGGGCTCAGCTGGAAGGGTGGGTGCTGGCCCCAGCAGCCTTGACCTGACCTTCACTTGGGACCGAGAGCCTGCATGAGGACGTTGGCCTTTACTGCTGGCAAGTGCTTCCAGAAAGCTCCTGACTGGGCTCGTCCCAGGCGGGAAGCCCCCAAGACCCTGGGTTTGCTGGACTCCGGTGTACAGAGGCACCAGAGTGCACACGGGTCGGCCCACCCCTCTGGGCCCCGCCTGTCAGGCGTGACCTCCTTGGGGAAGGGCCGGTAGGCCTTCCACCCACTGAGGCTTGGCCCCACTAATCCCTGTCAGATCAAAGGACTAAAAACGGTGGCTTTGGGGTGCGTCAGGGAAAGATTTCGATACGGGAGCTGGCATTTGCCTTTGGGGCAGCTGTGCCCGGCCTGGCAAGCCGCCACTACCCGTCGGAGCCGTCGGGGAGGCTGAGAGGGCTGCCTGCACTGGCGCGTGCGGCCCACATGGCATCCCACTGCCGGGTGCAGAGCGGACATTCTGGACCCCTGGCATCAGGGGCAGGACCGAGGGGCTGAGGGCCTGGCCCAGCCCCTCCTGCGACTCCCCCTGAGGGTCAGGCCCAGCCCCTGGGTGCCCGCTGCTTGGGCAGATGGTGCAGACCAGGAGACCCTGGGCCTGGAGGGGCCCCGCAGACGAGGACCTCAGGCCTGCCCTGAGAGCCACTGCCCACCCCGGCCCCGCCTTCTCCCCAAGATCCATGGGCAGCTGGGGTCCCAGCAGTCCGGCCACCGTCCGTCCCAGCAAGTGCCCCTCCTTCTCTCATCGCCCAAGTGTTCTCGACACCGCCCCCCTCCCCCACAGGCCTGTTATGCTCCCAGATTCTCCCCTCTCAACCCAGCCTCCCTTACCCGCCCTTCTGTCTGGTCTCCTGCCCCCTCCTGAGCTGGTTCCTGCTTCTCGCTGGCCCTGCCAGACCCCCGAGCTGCTGGGGGCAACACCAGAGCCAGTGAGCCAGCACTACCGGCAAGGGGCCCCAGGGCCACCCCTCCAGACCCTGCCCCTCCTCCCCAAGCCCCCTCTCCTGTGGTCCCAGGGCCACCCTGCTGCCCTCCCCACAACTGATGCTGCTCCGTCTGCACTTTTAACCTCTGCCCACCCCTTGGCCCAGCTCTTCCTGCCCCTGGGCCTGGATTTGCGGTGAGTGTCGCCCAGCCCTGGCCTCCTGCAGGGCAGCCCCAGCACTGACCGATGCCCACGGCCCCGTTGTGTGGCCATCAGGTGGACAGATGTCATGTCTGGGGCTGCAGGAGGGAGTCTTGGTGGCGCCTGGGCCTGGAGGGCAGGTCAGGGAGCCCCCAGCAGGGGAAGCTACAGCCCGAGCATCAGGCTGGTGGCCACAGGCCTGGTGGAACCGTGTTCCCGAACAGGATGGTGTGTTCACTGTGTGGCCTCTCCTGGTCTCCTGATGTTCTGTCCGTTTTCGGTGCCTGACCCCGTGCTGAGGCCTAGCGGGAGGAGCATGGGTGGCTCCAGGGCAGCTTGAGCCAAGGGGCCTGGGAGAGCAGGCCTGGGGCTGGACGCCCCACAGGACAGGCCTGGCCAACCCTTCCCTTCCACTGGGCGGGGGGCTCAGCTGAGGCAGCAGGGGGGCACCCACACCGGGCCTCTTGATGCCTCCCACCTGGGGCCAGGGCTTCTCTGAGCCCCAGAGTACCTCTGGCCAGCACCCCTCCCCTCTGTCGGGGGACTCTGTGCTGCTTTCCCCAGTTGGTCACTGGCTTATTCCCCCGAGCCCCCCGGGAGGCAGGATCCACCGTCCCCCCAGCTGTGGGCCAGCCGGGAGTGGCTACGGTGATGTGCCACCAGCCCGTTTGGCCCCCAGCGGCGCCCCTGCCTTGGCTGAGTGCCGCCCTGCCCCTCCGTGCTGGGGCCCTGATTGGAGCGGATGCCGAGTGAAAAGCAAACAGGTAAGGTTGGTGAGGCAGGATTCGGGGTTTGAGCTCCTGTGGCCGGCAGGATGAGGAACACACCACAAGCCGGGCTGGGCGTTATCTGGGCGGCCTCTGTCTCCCGAGTCGCGTTCGCTCTCCACCGCGGGTGGCCGGTGAGGGGCGTTTGCAGGGTGGGGAGACCCAGGCCGCCGTTCGTGGGACCCTGGGAGGTGTGGCCAGGTGGTGGTGGCCCGTGGGGGCGTCCCCCGGAGCCTGACACTGGTGAAGGGGCACATGGGAGGTGAGCCCCTCGGGGGCTGGTCACGTGGGGGGTCCGGTTCTGGCTGCGTCCCGGACGGGGCAGCGCAGGGTGTGGTGAGAACCCTTCCCGGCTGCAGCTGGGGCTTTCTTGCTGTGTGCTCACATGGGGACAGGGACAGGAAGGACTCGGCGCTCTTCTTACAGGGGCCTGAATCCCATCACGGGGGCCCCACCCTCACGACCCCATTGCCCCCCGAAGTCCCCGCTTCCTAATTCCACTCCCTTTGAGTAAGAGCTTCAACATATGAATTTGGCGGGGGGGGGGGGTCACAAACAGGTGGTTCATAACAGGCAGTATGGGAGGTAATCAGCTTGGGGGGGGTCTGGCAGGACCCCCAGAAGCATGAGTCAGTCACTCTGAACTGGGGAGGGCCCTGAGCAGCCCAGGAAGGCTTCCTGGAGGAGGTGGGCTGAAAGAGGGGCAGCCAGACCCTCAAGGCTAGGAGCTGGGGCCAGGGTAGGGAGAGGCCCCGCCAGGCCTGGGAATGCCTGTACCAGTGTGGGAACACTGGTGAGAGGGTGGGGGCCTGGCTCTAGAGTGAGCTGGGAGAAATGGGTAAACTGAGGACCAAGAATTGGGCAAAGGGGAGGGGCCGTGCACAAAGGGGTGACAGCAATTCAGGCACTGGCAGGCAGCAGGCGAGGGTGGGCAGGGCTGGGTCTGCAGGGTCCTGGGCAGGCTGGCACTGGCCAGCTGTGGCCTCCAGATAGACAAGGAGATGGCCAGGGCTCCCCCAGCTCACAGCGGCTGGTTCTCTGTGGCTGCTCAAGGAGAACACAGAACACGCCATATGGGACCAGGTGGATTTCTGGGGCCACTCCCACCAGGGGCCAGCTCAGGGGAGCCTCAGGGCCTGGACCTGCTGCCCAGTGGCCACGATGTCATGCTGGCCCCCTGTGGGGGTTGCTAAGCAAGTACCTGTGGCTGGGGGTTAGAGGAGTGGGCCGCTCCTGGGCTTGAGGGGCCCCAGCCCTATCCCCCGACCTGAGCACAGGTAGAGGTGACAAGGGCGGTGTGGCCGACTCAGCCTCGGAGCCTGGTTCGGGGCATTGACACCAGCTGTGTGCGGGCGGTGGCCTCTGGGGCCTCACCTTGCAGAGTTTCCGACGGGACACGAGGTGCAGGAGGGGCCGAGAGGGCCCTGGCCGCTGGTGGCTGGAGGCGAGCCGGAGGACACAGGCCACTCGTGTGGGCCCCACTCCCGGCCCCACGGCAGAGGCCTGACGCCCCTACCCCTCCTCGCTCTTCACCTTTTCCAGGCTCAGAGCCGGGTCCCAGTGTCCCTGCATCCTCAGAGTTTAGGAATAATTTCTGAAAGCGTGGGGGGCAGAGGCCCAGGATGGAGTCTTTCTTCTCCTCCTCCCAGTGGGTAAAAGTAGGATTTTTTGAGGGGGTGTTATTTTTGCTTTTGTTTGGCTTCTAGCAGCTCTATCAGGTGTAACTGATGCGCAAAAATCCGCACATATTTGAAGAGTCCAGTTTAATGGGTTTCGACCCACACACATACCCCTGAAACCATCATCACCACCGGGACAGCTGCCCCCAGAGGACCCCTCCTCTGCCCCCACGGGCCTCGTGCCCTCTGGAGACCCATCCGCATTGCGGCACACAGACTGCCCTCGGTCACCGCAGACTTGTTTGCGTGTTCTAGACCTTCACGTAGGTGGGATCACACCATATAGACTGATTTGTCTGGCAAACTTCATTCAGCGTTTTGAGTGACATTGTTGGGGATTCATCCACGTTGCCGCCCGATCAACATTTTGTTCCGTCGCGTTGCCGAGCCGCGCTCCCTGGCAGGCCGTGCCCCTGGCTGCCCGTGCGCCCCCGACGGCTGGGCCGGCCAGGGTCCTGTGCGCACGGATCGGATCGCCGCGAGCGTGGGCCCCCCTTTCTCTGGGGAAGGTGCCCGGGCACGGTGCGACTGGAGTGTGTGGCTGGTGCCCTGCTGACTTTTTCGGGACCCGGCAAACTGTCCCTGCAGGGCGGCCGTGCCACTTTGCATCCCCACGTCCTCCGCTCCCTCCAGCGCTGGGCGCGAGCAGCAGGGCCGTCCTGACAGGCGTGCGGTGCCGTCTTGCACACATACGCGTATCTACCAGCCTGTGTCAAGTGTCGGTTCAAACCTTTTGCGCATTTTAAAACCAGATGATTTGGTTGCGATTCACTTTTGAGAGTTCTTGGTCTGTGCTGGATACAGGTCCTTCACCAGACTCAGGGTTCACAAAGATCTTTCCTCGAGTGTGTGGCGCGTCTTTATGTTCTCTCTCTTTTTTTAAAAAGACTTATTTGAGAGAGAGAGAGAGAGCACGAGTGGGGGGAGAAGGAGAGGGAGAGAGACTCTCAAGCCAACTCCGAGCTGAGCACAGAGCCTGATGTGGGGCTTGATCCCACGACTGCAAGGTCATGACCTGAGCCGAAACCAGGAGCGGACACTCCACCGACTGCCCTACCTGGGCGCCCCGTGCCTTTATGTTCCCAATCTTGACAATGTCCGATTTACCGGTTTTTCTCTGCTTCTTCCGTCCTGTGGCCAGGAAGTTGGACTTCATCCCTGCGAAGTGATGTTACTCATCCCCGGGGATGTTCTGGGCTCCGAAACCTACTTGGGGGTTCATATCATCGTGCGGCCTTTCTTCCAATGTGTTTGCATGCCTTTTTCTGTTTTACTTTGAACGACTCCCGTGCACCTTCCCAGTTGCCGGGGGCTTGTTCAGACGGCGGGCGGGGTGCTCGCCATTCCATGCCGGCTGAGACCCCGTGCCTTCCCACTGGGGTTTCGGGCGGTTGGCCTTAGTGCAACCGCTGCCTTAGGCGCTCTTGGTCCTGAGGTTTCGGTGGTCACCGTGGGGCGCAGGGTGTTTGTCTTCCCCATACCCCAGCCGCCCTCGGCAGGCACCGCCGCCCCGCAGGCAGCCTCCCTGCACACGCCCCACCCCGTGCCCCGCCCGCACCGCTCCGGGGTTGTTCGCTGTCGCTTGAAGACCTCCGTCCGTGTGTGCGGACGTCACCAGGGCGGGCGTCAGCTCCCCGGGGGCCCCGGCGGCCGTGTCTGAGAGCCCCTGACTCCTGCCCTTGTTTTTGGAGCTATTTCCCCAGGATGGCAGCTGCTTTTTCGTGGCGCACTTGCGTGGTTTCTGGCAAAATTGTTGGCCGCCGTGTCGTGCGTGTTCATCTTCAGACAACCCCTTCCCACCCTGGCTTCTGTGCGGAATTTCCTTTTCTCCCTGCGTTTGAGCGATGGGACGATTTGTCAGGGCTTGGTCTCCTTCACGTGTCCTGTGCTCAGGGCTTCTGGCGTCCACAGACCCGGAACGAAGCCTGTCCGCCGCTCCTGCAGCGTGTTGGTGGCCTGCCCCGCGCTCGCGGGCTCCTTCGCGTGTGTCCTGGCCTCCCCGCGGAGTGGCCGGTGTCCTCGGCGGCCCCACCTGCCCCTCACACCCCGCACGCCGTCTCTGCAGCAGTAGTTTCTGTACTTTCTCACACCTTCCGCGTCCCTGCGCAGCACGGCCCATCCTTACGGCGCCTTTTTGAACACACAGGGTTCAGTGACGGTGACCGGGCCGACCCCCGGCGTGTTAACCCTTCCTCCTGCACGGCCACTGCCGCCACGCTGGCCTCCAGTGACTGACTTTTCTCCTGATCGCGGGTCAAACTGTCTGGCTCCTTTCCTGCCTGCCGCCCTCTGGCTGGATGTCCGAGGGGCCGGCGCCCATCTCGCCCTGTGGTGCCATGGGTTTTTGTCTTCCTACAGATCTTGGGCTTGGAAGCAGGTTGGTCCTCTTGGGTCTTTCTTCTGGGAGCTGTTAGGTGGGATTGGAGTAGCTCAGCCCCAGCAGGACCCGGCAGAGCGCTCTACCCACTGCGCCACCATCCTGAGGTTTTCCGGCATCGCGGGGGGGGCAGGCGACCCCCACCTGCTGCCCCCCACCCCTGTGCGGCCCTTTCCTCACTGCAGGGCCTGCCCAGTGGGACTGAGGGACTTCCTGCTGTCCCCGGGCCCCGCCCTCCCCGACCCCGCGTCTGTTCTCAGCTTCGGGGTGGCAGCCAAGCTCCTCCCGGTCCCCTCCCTGCGTCTCCCCTCTCCTGGGACGGAGGTGGGAGTCCTTGATGAGACGGAATTTAAATAACAAAAAATCGTACCGTGGTACACACTCAGTAAAATGTGGAAAAATGTAGAAAAGTCTCGAGAAGATAAACACATGAACCTTGTCCGAGGGTCGTGTAACTGCCCTGAGGTGGCCCTGGCACGAGCCCTGCCCGCCCGCTGGGCTCCGGGGGCAAGATCCAGGTGTGGGCAGGGCTGCTTCCTACTGCGGTGTCCCTCCCCCAGCTGCTGGTGGTCCTGGCTTCTGGGGACTTCTGGCTTCTAGCCACACCCCCCCACCTGCGCCTCCATCCTCACCTGCTCCCCCTGCCTCTCCCTGCGAGCCAGTCCGACTCGTTTCCCCTTTTTGTAAGGACACAGTCACATGGGATGAGGGGCCCACCCTAATGACCTCACCTGCAAGGACCCTATCTATTCCCAAATCGGGTCCCGTTCTGAGGTCCTGGGGGTCAGGACTTCCTCGTAGGAATTTGGGGGGCACAACTCAACACCAGACATACATTTCTGTGCTCAGTGTCTTCTCATGGGGCACGGCAGGAATTCCTCTGCTCCTTGGAGACTCTGTTTTGGGGGCTATGTGGTGCGTCTTTTTCATCTTTCGGGGAGTGGGTGGGACGGGCCTCTGTGCTTGTCCTCTGTGTGGGCTGTTGTCACAGAAGGAGAAGCCCATTTCTGGAGGCGCTGTGGGCTCTTGCTGGTGGACCTGCAGGCCCCTGCCTTGCCCGGGAGGGGTCTGTGCCGTGGACAGCCCTGAGCCACACCTCTCTCCCTCAGGCCTCCCGAGCCTGCTGCTCACAGGCCGCCCTCCCACGGGGCCACCCAGGGTATGAGTCCCTCTCCCCCACCTCCTCCTGAGATGAATGTGGGACCCCCAGCCCTCGGGGCCCTGTGGCCTCACCGGGGCCCTCACAGCCTGCAGGACAAGGGTGGCCATGACCACTAACCACGGCAGACTGCACTTTCCGCCCTGTGCTGGGCTCTGCTCCCCGAGTGTCTGAGGCTGGTGTCCTCCGGCCCCCCCTGAGCCCCACCCCCGGCGGCCGACCCTGTGCCGTGTGTGCACAGGCAGGCCCCCACCAGCTGCTCCTGGAGAGCTTTCTGTTGACTTTCCCACCTGGCCAGATCTGTAATCTGCTGGTCAAAGGGCACATCCGCTTCCTTGAGGCCTGTGCACATGGCCACAGGCGGATGCCCCACCCCTGCTCCAGCCGGGCTGTGTCCCGGACCCTGGCCCCTGGCCCTGCTCTGGGTCCTGCTTCGTGGGGACCCAGCCCCTCCTGGGGGTGGCCACCACTGGCCGGCTGCCCTCCCTGGCCACGGCTTCTCTTTCTTCAGGGAGATGGGGACGTCGGAAGCTCTCCCCGTGTGCCTCCCCCAGCCTGCGGACACCGGGCGGGCCCTCCTGGGAAGGGGGAGGGAGGTACACACTCGAGCTGCTCATCTGCGTTGCCTGGGGGGGCCTGTGTGGTGGCTCCAGGCAGCGTCCCATTTCCTCCCACCCCCAGAGCTGGGTGGTAATTCTGGGCACGCCCCAAGCCTCACGGGCCTTAGGACTTAGTGGTCATGCGTCCCCTGCTCCAGGGGCCCGCTGCCAGGATGGGCCCCTCTGTCTTCATCCTGGCTCCTGGCTTCCCCACGAGGGGCCCTGACCATCCCCTGCGGGGGGGGGTGCGCTGAGACCTGGGGCCTGTGGGTGGGGCTTGGGCCCCCCTCTTGAGGAGGGACACAGACTGGCGCTTCGGGCTGCTTATCAGGCTGAGTCTCAGGAATTTCCTTGAGCCTCGCTCACTATGGCCGAGCTGCACAGGGCTCAGAGGTGGGTGGCCCTCCCTGTGCTCAAGGGACCATCACTGTGCATTTAGCAGAGGGAAAGATGGCCACTGTCCCAGGGACAGACCAGGCACCGAAAGGTGACACACCCACCTGCCTATCCCCGTGTGGCTGTGCGGGTGCCGGGCCTGCAGGTGGCTGGAGCTGTGGGAGACGCTCCCCAGGGCCCACAGTGCACAAAGACAGAGGGAGTCAGGTCACAGAGGGATGTCCTCTGACCTGGGCTCCAGGGGCAGTGAGGCTGCTCACACTCAGGTATCCGGGTGCCCGTGCACTCTGGCCTCGGTGTGCACACACTCAGTGCTCACACGCATGTGGGGCCCACATGCCTGCTCGCTCACATGGTCACACACACACACACACACACACACACACACACACGCAGCCCCCTCCCCCCACAGTGCGGGAGCTGGGTGCCACCTGCTGGTGAATGTCAGCATCCTAGTGTGCCACCCTCCTCCAGAACCTTCCATGGGCGGCCATACGGGCTGGGCCTGGGTCTGGGATCTGGCCGGAGCCAGCCCGGCTCAGGTGGGGGCCGTGGCTGCAGCACTGCCCAGGACGTACCTGGGAGGGGCGGACAGGGGGCTAGGTCCCTGCACGTCAGGCTGTCGGAGCCCCCAAAGCCCAGAGCACAACCCAGGTGGACAGACAGCGAGGTGCACTGGGAGGGCAGGGGAGCACCCGATCCCGGGACCTCTGGGCCTGGCAGGGCCTGGGTGTGGCTCCGGGGGGCAGAGGCCCGTGGCTGCACCTGACCTGAGGGGCTTGAAGCCCTCTCCTCCTGTGAAATGTTCAAGGCCCCAGACACAGGACAGCCGCTTCCCGCCCCTGCTGCCCATGAGGACCCCAGTGACTTGCACGCCCCTGGCCTGGGAGGTAGGAGCAGTTTCCTGAAGGTCAAAGGGAAGGTCACCTAGCCTCCAGCCCCTTGGGGACAGGGGTCCCCAAGGACTCAGGGGTGGGGTCTTTCCCAGCATCTTTCTGCAAAGTTGGGCACCATCCGGCCCCCTTGACACACCTTCCCTGTCACCATCCCAAACCAGTTCTGCTTTCCCTTTACCTCCAGAGGCTGTCCCTCCCCCTCTCCCTGGGGCCTTACCCCCCACCCCCAGATCTGATCATGCCCCTTGGAAAATGTCCACAAGCTTTGGTGCCCCCCAGGCCCACCGTCCTGTGCCCCCCACGAGAGAGCACATGGGGGGCTGCCCTGCATTCCTGCTGGGACCCCACAGGCCGGACCCTTGGGGATCTGGGTTTCTGCAGAATGAGGTGTGGCCTGGGGCCTGGCTTGGGACTCTGCCTTGTTCATTGAGCACCTGGCAAGTCTGGGGGGGGGTGGCTCAGCTGGGGGTGACACTGGGGGGCGGCACTTGCGGGGTGGAGCTGGTCTCTGCCTCCCCAGCCAGCCCTCCTAGCTTCTTGGGGGCTCCAGGTCACTACACACAGGCCCCAAATTCTGAGGTGCTGTCTGCTACCCCCAAAGCACCCTAGTGGTCATTCTCTGTGCTGTCAGAGCCGAGGGCAAGGTCAGTGGTCTTGGTGGGCCTGTCAGCCCAATGTGGTGGGCCCCTGACCCCAGGCCGTGGAGCCTGCTCCCCCCGGCCACCCCCA